AGAACCGAATGTCTGTAGATCATGAACCCCTAAACCCCACCCAAGTATAGAACTTTTAGGGACCTTAAAGGGTAGTAGGTTTGGACAGATCAAGGTGTTGTTTAACCTCGGAAGATTCCGGAGCATCATTCAACATCCTCAGCTTCAATATGAAAATACCGAGGTAGTTTGACCCACGTGGACACCAAACATCATTGAAGCTTGTGAGTAAGCTGTCCGAAATACAGTCGCACAGAGTCGCAGCGCCAGGGCACTGTGGAAACCGCAAGTGAAAGGTCATAAGGGTGCTATCAGAGGCATAGACTCTATGCAGGAGCTTCTACAACCCTCTGAAGCCCAAAATTGTGAAGCAACACCTTGAACCGATAAGAATGTTTGGAACCACAGAGCATGTCTACGACAACCTACTAAGCGATTTCATCTAATCTCCTAAGCACCAAGCCCAAAGCCCCACACCCGAATGCCAGAAACCGTAGCCGCAAACATGCTAAAAACCCAAGCCCTTTGCACTAATATAGGGCACTTAATGGTTCGAATGGGGTTTTGGGGTTTGCTATACTATGAACATGTAGATAGGGGCTATAAGGGGATACTCTCACCAACTACTCCGACCCCTTTAGCACCCTGGGCCTACCTGTGAAGGTGTCGCAAGGCCAATGCCTGGAAATTGCACGCCTGTGGAGGGCTTCTTAGTTTAGGGTTTAGGGTTTAGGGGATAAGGGTTTAGGGTTTAGGGTTTCTTTGACGGCCGAGGGGTTAGTGTCGGGTGTCATGTTTAGTGTTTCAAGACGGAGGAAAGCTATTCAGACCGGCAGGTGTGTCTGAAGATTCCCCTAGGGGTCCAAGCAGTTAATAACCATGTACTCCCAAATGCTAACCTACAAAACTACTATCCGAAATATAAGTACCTGATTATTGGGTGCCTTAGGGTTCGTGTTCACAGGGTGCAATTGGGCCCAGGATCTGGGGAAAGTGGGGACTTGTGCGCGGAGGGAGCGTTTCAGAAGGACTCATGTTGCTTCTGCAGCTGGTGCGTACGGGCTTGTAGTATCTTTGGGTGTGTCTTAGCAGTGTGGAACCGTACCGAAAGTGTCGGATTTTGGATGATTTGAGGGTTTTAGGATGTGAGCACCTGACGGTCTTGTAGAGATTTCAAGGGCTCTGTGATGACAGCCTAGTGCTTGCACACGCCTCCGACTGATGTGAGCATGGTATCCCGTCGTGAGGTTCTGAAATCTTGCTGGAGCGTTCCATTGCAAGCGCTACGTGGCATGGGACTTCATTAGAATCCCTCCCTCCCTCCCTCCCTCCCTCCCCTCCCCTCCCTCCCCTCTCTTCCTTCCCTCCCTCCCTCCCTCCCCCCAGGCTGCTCACCAAATCATGTGTACGTAGTAACTCTATATATATATATATATATGTATACACATCGAAAATATGCACATACAGACATATGTGTGTGTGTATACATACATACATATATATATATATATATGTATATTTATTTATTTATATTTGTTTATATTTATATTAAACACCCTCTACAACCATTATCCAACCTTTCTGTCTCCGTTCATAAGGCCTATAAACCCCAAGCCCAGCCAGCCTAGGGTTACAGCAGTGCAAAGGAGCGCACACCTGCCACAGATTGAGGCTTTCTTCGTCTCCGAGGGTTACTGCTAGTGTCCAGGTTGTAACGACAAGGCTTCTGCAGGGATTGCTGCAATGGCCACCATAAGGGCTTTGGGTTTGGGGGATTTATACTCATGTGTTTTAAGGTTCGGTTTCGGAGCTAGGATTCAGGGTGTAGGGTGTAGAGTTTAGGGTTTAGGGTTCCATTGTGTATCTTGAATTTCAGAAGCTTATGGGTTTCTGGACCAGGAACCTCAGGTGGTGCGGGAGGGGAAGACATGCGGCAGTTCTTCTCGATTCCCGTTCCTTGTCGTGTGTTGACTTTAGATGGGAGTTGCTTGTGCGGAGGAGCACAAACAGTACTCGAGTATACAAAGCCAGTACTATCCCCTTCTTACTGATACCAGGGTTCGAACTCTTTCATAAAGTTAAGCTGGTTCATGAACCCCAAACCCTAAAACCTAAACCGAAAACCCTAAACCCAAGTGGATTCCTTTGGCCCTCAGGGCGATGGAGTTCGCCAAGTGAGGTCACGTCTTTGCACTTAGCGACATTCGGTTTGGGGTTTGGGGTTTAGGGTTAGGTTTAAGGTGTAGGGTTTAGGATAGTATCTGAAATAGTATCTGAAACCTAACATAACCCTGAACCAAAAACCCCCAAACCTCTCATGACGGTTTAGTCTTAAGGGTGCGAGTACTAGTACATGAGTTTAAGGTTTGCAGCTTCAGGTTTACTTTTTGGTCTCCTGGGTTTCCAGGTCCTGCAACTTGTGTTAAAGCTTTAGGGATTACGGTTTAAGGCTTCAGGGTTTAGGGGTTTAGGGGTTTCGGGTTTGAGAAAAAAATTAGGCTTAAGATCTACATCTTGTGTGTGAACAAGAGTAAAGCCCTATCCCTTGAATTCAAACTTCGGCTGACGCAGGATCGGAAACCCTAATGGTGGTTTAGGGCTTAGGGTGTAGGGTTTAGGGTTTCAGGACAAGGCAGCGACACTATTTTGCACGACTAAGCCCTTCACTTGCGACCTAATCTGCCACTGTTGCACCTGAACATCAGCCAGACCAAATAATTCAAAAATCAAGAGTCTGGCTTAGTGTGCAGGACTTGCGCGCTTGACGTCGATTTCCCTGCTATTTTCTGAACAAGACGAGCACCGAGAAACCCTCACAGAACCCTTATAGTAAACCCTTATAGAGCCCTAGTAGTAATCCCTTACAGGAACCCTGAACCCTAAACCTTTATAATTGTAGTGACCATCAACCCTAAACCGTAACCACTTGTAGTAACTTAGTAACCCTAAACCCAAAACCCTAAACCCCAAACCCTTATCGTAACCCCAAACCTAAACCCAACACCGATGCACTGGCCTTCCAAAACGTGATGATAGGTTGGACCGCTGCATGATCGGAGGCAAGGGGCCTGCAGAATATGGTTTGGCGTTTCGGGCTTAGGGCTCAGGGGCTAGGGCTTAAGGCTTAAAGCTTAAAATTTGGGCTTCGGGCTTAGAAGGGTTTAGGGTTAGGGTTTAGGGGCTAGGGTTCAGGGTTTGGGGTGTTGCGGTTGGCTGGTTAGCGCTACACCCAACGACGCGAGAACAACTCCCACGCTTACACCATGGAGCGACCAGGTGGAGCCTTAGACTTCTACATAGCATGTCCCTAACCCCCAGGTACCCATTATATAGGGCCTAGGGGCTCTAGTACCCTCTATAGTAGGTACCTGGAGGGTTGGGGTGTTGTTTCGAATACCAACTCGAGTGCCTGCTTCAACAGGAGTTTTCTGCAGAGAGACGCGGCAGCTCAAACCAGGACCCTGATGTTGCCAGGGCCTGAGCAGTACACCAAGTCAAGCGTGGCGTCCATCCTAAACCCTAAACTCCAGAAGCCTTCTGTGAAAAGCACAGGATTCAACTACACTAAGTTTAAGCAGGGCCTATGCCCTAACCCTAACCCTAATCTCAAGTATTTAGGCTGGGCTGAAGGCAACACGGATCTCAATTCTAACAGTAGTTACGAGGGTTCGGGGTGCTGACAGCCTGCTCACCACCCCTGTGGGATGCTCTTACGAACAAATATAGGGGCCTTAAAAATCTCCTGATTATCATTACAGTATAATATACCCCAAAACCCTATTCTTGTTNNTTATTAAGGCCCCTACATTATTCAGACCCCTGCACTAGGTGCATTTCTTGGGCTAGCTTGAGCTTCAGATGCAGTTCGAAAGTCACGATGGCATTGCAATGAAGGCACGAAACGACAGAAACATTCTGAGACATGACACGAAAGAGTACTATCAGTGCATGTCAGAATACTATAGCGGCTAAGTTGTAAAGAGTTTCAAACGTACAACGTACGAAGACCCTGTAAGAAGCATCTTCGACCTCAGGGTTTTGAGTTGAGGACTCCGGAGCATCGGACACTGGATGCGGGAAACCCAGAAACTCGACTACCTTGCAGCAGGGTCGGACCAAAAACCCGAACCCCCCCCCCCCCCTCCCCAGGAAGTTTGTATTTTTGGGGGCTCCAAGTGCAAAACCATGGCAAAATATCAGCAAAACAGAGAAAAGTATAGGGTTTACTGCCCAGTTTGTTCAGGGTTTCGGGGTTAATGCCCACTTAACCCTGTGCCAGCCTCGTGATCGCTCCATGACCCGGTGCCGAATGCACAGATGGTCCCGTGAGCCCCAGTTGGCTGCGAGCACAGCGGAGGTATATATCTCTGTTCGGAGGAAAAATGCCAACCTGACAGAACGAAAGATAGTCCCTCCCGCAATCCCGACAAACCAGATCTGAATCTGATGCTGGGGGGGAAGTCTGCTCAGCAACCCTTTTGCAGTGCAAGCAGCTGTTCGAATTCGCTTGTTCAGAAGCCGTGCGAAGGCTGAGAATGGAGGTGTCGGGAGAGTGGAAGCTGTAGCCTGTGGCAGTAGACCCTAAACCCTAAATCCATCACCCTCCCGCTTCCATGGTGTAAGGGTGAGAAGGCCGCCATTCAAGGCCAAGGCTTATCCTCAGCAGTCTTGATGCTGCGTCTACTCTGCACACGGTAGCATGGCTGTAGTATTGCAGCTGGGTTTGCCATGTGGAGGAGCATGGCAGGACGCTTAGGCTACGGCTTTCGGCCGTTTTCGGAGTTCGGCATAGTGTCACAGCTGCTGTGTGGTTGCCAATGGCCCCTACAAACTGATCCAATGATTCTAGCAGGTCTCGCAAGCAAGCCCTGCAGCCGCCCTAGACCCCCTGAAATGCGAAAGCCCTAAGCCTGCGCTCTAAAACGCTAGAAGCTCCTATGGTTGCTGCTAAACCCTAAACCCTAAACCCTAAACCCTAAACCCTAAACCCTAAACCCTAAACCCTAAAGGCGAATGTGCCCTCATTGTGGGCCCTGGCGCACCGGTGAAGGCGCCCTGCTGGGAGCCATCGACTCGGTCCTGGGCTGGGCATCGTCACTGTTTCTGTTTTGTTGATGGGTTCTATCCCCTAAACCCTAAACCCCTAAACCCTATACCCTAAACCCTAAACTCTAAACCCTAAACCATAACCCCTAAACCCTAAACCCTAAACCCTAAACTCTAAA